TCATCATCATGAATGAGATGAATGAATCAGAATGACTGTGGTTCAGTCTATTTGTTTATAATTTTTCAATCAGTATTTCCAGTGAGTACACGGTCTTTCCATTTATCAAGCAACAGCTGTGGTAGGTTATTATATAGCTATAACACACCTGATTAATGTCTCAACATCGCAGCCAAGTAAATCAAGACCAACATAGTTTAGATGAAAACATAAATCATACCAAAACCCATAACATGAATATTGCTTCCTATACACTCTCTTAATTTTTCATATGCAGATACTGACTAGATGTTTACATAATCAAGACACTGTTACTTCTGAATTAGTTTTTACTAGTGTTACAGGACTGAATTAATCAGCTCAGAACAGATACAAAAATATGCATGTAGGGCATATATATATATACAACCCACATCCCAATTCATATATCCCTCATCCATATTTGTGGATTCATGCACCTGACCCTAATCATAACAGATTAGAAGCATTTTTAACAATGTTTAGGAATAACAGCCTATAGTAATTCAGTATATTTTACATGCTTTCTAAAATACATGCTTTCATTGGAATCATATACGCATAATGATACTGAGGCAAGCATTTAATCAAGTTATAGTCTGCAACAGCAGGCTTAAAGATTTGTCAAATTGATTGCAAAGCTTTAAATTAAACTGGAGGATTATAAACGTGTAAACAAACTCACCCTGTCCCGCAGTCTATCACGCACGGAGGGGGCCGCACTGCCATCACCAGCACTGGACACAAACACACAAACACATCCGCATGACACAACATTAACGACGTCATCTACACAGAAACCGTGTGCCGTTTACAGGGTTGTCAGGTTTACCTTTATTGCGGTATGTATTATCCCTTGATTATGGCTTGCACCGTTATTTTGCGCGACTACTTCCCGAGTCAAAGGGAAGGCAAAAAATAGAAACATGCTGGATCTACTCGCGCTGCCTCATCACGGTCCACAGGAGGGTTGACAGCGAAATTACGAATCATACTATGGTAAAGGCAAGAAGGCGAGTTTATTAATATTCATAAGCCAAGTCTTCGCTACATGAAGGTAAACGAAGAGACGTCATGACGTAGTTAATAACCATGAGCCAAGCCTTCGCCACCACATATTCGCCACCGAAGATTACTAAGGAACGTCAACATTGCGTAATTAATATTTATGACTTAAACAATTGCCATAGTAGGCTCCGTAATTTCATGAGTTGGCAAAAGTGCCTGCAGACTGCAGAGCGCGTGGCGCATTATCACTGTTTACTTTCTTAACCTCTTACTTACTTACGATTCAGCTTTAATGGCAGACGTACCTAGATCTGTAAATTGGTTTGTGTTAATTTGGTCCAAGATTATTTATTTATTTATTTATTTTATTTAGTCATTTAGCAGACGCTTTTATCCAAAGCGACTTACAAATGAGGACAATAAAAGCAGTCAAAACTAACAAAAGAGCAACAATATATAAGTGCAAATGACAAGTCTCGGTTAGCCTAACGCAGTACACGCACGACACACACACACACACATACATATATATATATATACACATACATATATATATTATACACACACACACACATACATATAACGTTACACACACACGCACAAAGAAAAACAAGTAGATAGAATAGAAAAAATAGAAAGCTAGTGTTTTTTTTTTATTATATGGCGAATCGATTTGGAAATAACTAACTCTGATTGTTTGGGGTAATGAAATACAGGTATAAAAACAATGGAAGTATATCTCTTGGTTAATGAAATATGTTATCAATGAACGTTGGAAAATCTGGGGATTGGGGCTGTATTGATGACGATGATGATGATGATGATGATGATGATTATTACTATTATTTAGATTATTAAGATTATTGGCAGTATTTATTTATTTCACTTTTTATTGTGTGTATTGTTGATTTGGCAATATTGTATGTTAAATAAACACACAAATACATACATACATACATACATACATTATACATAAATACTGTCATGAATTCTGTACATAGACTTCCATCCTACTGCCACAAGAGGTCGTCTCTTCTTCATATTGACTCTCCGGACTACATTTCCCATCATCCATTGCACTGATTGCACACAGCTGTAACCAATCACACGCTCACCTGAAAGCTATTACACACATTATATTACACCCACTCAGATCCTGCTCAAGTCACCCAGTATTGTTCTGCATTTTTCACTCTCCTAGTGTTAGCTGCTTTACCGAGCCATTCTGTGGTTCTGTTCAGTCTCTTGCGTTGTATAGCGTTTATCACTCTCCTAGCGATAGCTACTCTACGGAGCCAGGTTCTAGTTTTTCTTAGTTTAGCCATATAGTCTTGCCTTGCCTGTTTTCCTGGTTCCTGATTCTTGCCACGTATGTTGGATTAACCCTTTGCTTACTGTTTCGGACTGTGTTTGCTCCTCGCCTGGATTTATGCTCACGTTTACGGATTACCCCTCTTGTCAAGCCCTCTGGATTACGTTTGCTGTCGTCTGACTCAAGCCCGTTTAGGATTGCTCTTCTGTCTTGCCTGTGCCATACCTGTTTGCTGTTGTTCGACTCTGCCTGTGTTTTTGACTGTTTATTAATAAAAGCTTGCACATGGATCCGCACGCCTCTCGTCTCATCAGCCCCGTTACAAATACATAAGCAAGTTGAAATCGAATTATAACGAAGTCCCTTTATGCCCTTTATAGGATAAACTCTATGGCAGGTGGTCCTAATTTTACATTAGCCTATATAATTTATGTAGAATGAGTTATACATTTGTAGTCCCTCCGTAGTGTATTGAAGTGATGTATAAATGATCTTTATTGCCTTGTTATTCTGTTTTTTTTTTTTTTTTTTGGATTGCATGATATTATGAA